TTTGGGGGCTGCATTTTGCAAATGAAAGTCAATTTATGGCGGTAGTGAAAGCCCTGTGCGACATCAGCATGCTACCGCAATAAGTGATGATGACTATATTTTATTATGCGAGAATATCACTGGCTGAATTTTCCCGAGTCTGCCGAGTCGAAAATGCCATAAACAAGAAACAAAACTTATTAATTTTTAAAAATAGAACACAAAAACAGAATATATGTAGCTATTATTAACAGGCAGTAATAAACTTGACAAATAACATTTATGTCAATACTCATAAAGGTTCGTAGTAAATCAATTCCAGACTCTAAATGAAAACTTTTTACGCTGACAGGTTTTCAAACAACAATGGCCCCACTTTAAAGTAAATTGAAATGTTGCCATCATAACGCCCGCCGCCCGATCCATTACGTTACCAAAAACAAAATTTTAATGTTTAACATGCGGGCATTAATTTTATATTTTGTTTTTACATTCTATCAGTTATCTTAGTGGATGAATTTAAAAGCGAGTGAATTAAAAGCATGCATTTCATTTACAAAATTTGATGGATTAAATGTGAGATTGTTTTTACGTAGGGAAATCCTCATAGATACACTTCGAACTACCTACCGACTTTAAAAAGAAGACGGTACTCAATTCGACTGTACGAGTCGACGACGAGACGACTTTTCTCGTATGTTTTTTTTATGTGTGTTACCTCATAACTTTTTACTGGGTGAACCGATTTCGATGATTCTTTTTTTATTTGAAAGCTGGTACTTCACATGTGGTCCCATATACATTTGATCAAGGTCCTGGGCTCAATGTTTTTCAATAATTCTTAATAATTTATATTGAAGTTGGTTGTACAACATTTTTAATTTTATATTATTATTTTTTATAGAAAAGGTGAAAAACGACCACACAGTCCACCTGATGGTAAGTGAATGCTGTAGCCAATGGATATCTACTATATTTACCCCTGATTAAAAATCGAAATGTATATGCGTTTTCAACCCTCAGGACTAAGATGGAATGCACCCTTACCACAGTGAAAGAAGAAAGCAGAAAAAGAAACATCATTTTACGTATTCCATTACGCAAAGAACAATATATAAAATATCATAAAATACGTAAAGTTAATAAATTTGACTTAGTACGACAAATTAATCCCAAAATGGACATCTAGTTTTCTGCACTGCAACTGCACGCTCGTTTTCTGTACGAGCGTGATCATTCCCCGGTCGAGTTGACCCATTCATGCTGCAACCATCATACAATGCAGCGTGGCTCCACCACCTTGACGGTTGTGTTGAAATACCACCTTTACCAGACTCTACCAGAGCTCCTGAGGCAATGCGCGCTGGAAAGCGCATTGACTTATCTCAACATAATCCTATTCACTCTTGCCTTGAAGATACCCAAATTGTATGGAAAGACAGATGTTGACAAATTATCCCACTCCCCGCTGTACTCATAACGAACGGCTTAACTCTTTTGTTCGAATTCGCGATATGTCGACAGTAAAAGGATGGAGACTGGCTCAAAGCTTATGAGAAAGGCAGTAGTTAAGCTCTCCGAAATGTATCCTGTAGAATATCAAAAGGCTTGGCTATTTTGGGTCTGTTCTCGAGACTGGTAAGATTGAACCAGATTGAGGTCACTAATAATATTTTCTTTTTAAATGTCTTTTGACTGAGCCCAAAACTACAGGGCATTTTACACCACAAGCTTATAAATGGCAGCAACACAACAATACAAATTGGCTGGCTAAAAGTAATAATTCCACATTTTATGGAAGAGATTTTTCTCCTGTAGCCCATTCAAGTACACAGGTGCACATAGGTTTCATCGCTTGTAAGGAGGGTTCGTCTTAATCACCAGGCTTGGCAGGCGGATTGACATCTCGCACATTTTGACAATGCTCTCCGTCGCCGCGTTGAATTAAACGCCACCTATCGGAAGCCATTAGATATTTCTAGCGTTCATAGTCTTTTTACGAAAACCACGAGATGAAATAGGGTAATGTATTCTTTTACGTCGCCACACTATTAATGTCAAAGATCGGTAATAATTTATGCGTATAAATGGATTTTTAAAATGCATCTTTTATACCATCGACGGTTCGGTAGCACAGAAGCTAAACGTTTGGCTTTTTTTTTATAGAATATGGATGCTAAACGAGCATACAGTCCACCTGATGGTAAGTGGTTGCTGTAGCCCATAGACATCTACCTATCCTCGATTACAAATCAAAATGCAGATGCGTCGTCACCCGTGACGACTAAGATGGAATGCCTCGGTTCCAGTAAAAAGGGTCTCCGGTTCTCTACACTAACCATACGAAACACAGCAGCGTTAAGCTGATATTTTACGCTGGTATTCTGTGAGAGCGTGGTACTTCCCGGGTCGAGCCGACCCATTCGTGTTACAACTACACTACTAATATAGCTGCAGCATGGCTCTACTACGTAAAGACTGCGGCTTTTTTCAAAGGCTTCCGAATCTCGCACGAACAAAATGTTTGTCTGACTACAAATGATTGTTCAAGGTCTTGATGTATGTAAAAAGGCTTCACTATACAAGACATATCCGTGTATGAGATTAAGGTATGTTGAAACAAAAAAAATATACAAAAAAAATGCTGCAACGTAACGGTGTAACATTTATAATTTCCTCATGCTTCTTCATACGTCACATAGCTCTCTCCACTCTAAGTACACCGTTAAAAAATTTGTTTTACAACTTAATTCACTGGGCCGCTAGCTGAGTGGTTCAGTGACGCAATAAATAACCCTCAGACTTTTATCTCCCTAGACTTCCCACGTGCGTTACGATACAAATGTAAGCAGGAAGAACGCGTGTAGTGTGGATGCAGATTAAAAATATAGCTTTAATGTTTTTCTTTATTCCTTCCGTTTGGTTGGTATATTGAAGCATATATTATCTAGGGAGAGAAGTGAGGAAGGCGTATACTAATATTAATTGATTTTTAGCTTAATGTAGTGTGAAATGATATATCAAGTAATAAAAGGAAAACATATTTTATATTATAATTATTTCTTAGTTTGTATTTACCACGCTTGGCAAGCGAGTTGTGCAACCGGAGTTTCTTATTTTAGTCGTTATTAGAAGACGCTTTTTATAAGTGAAATTATTCATCGTCATAAGTCTACTGGTGAATAAAGAAGGTATTAGCCGTAGTTTTTTCTTCTTCTCTAGCCCATCTCGTGTTTCAGTTTCCCTCTGTCGCCTCTTAGGATATTCACGGTATGATATGTGGTAGTGGATTCTATTACGCCGTCACTAACACGGTAGAAACTACTAACGGTGAAATTATTTCTTGATATTATTTTAAGTGCTGACTTGCAATGCACTCGACAGTGAAGGAAAAATTGTGAGGAAATATCTGAGGAATAAAATGTTTCGAATATATATGAAGTCTGCCAATAGTCTGACTAACTTGAGCAGCGCGGGCGTCTCTCTTCACTCCCATTACCCTTCTGGAAATGAGGGGAGATCTGTCCCAAGCAGTGTTTATCTATACCTACCCGCTTTTAGTAGCAGTACCCGCGACACGTTCGCGTGGAATTAGTACTTTTGTTATGATAAGTGATGTTTTATTTCTAATTTTAACTGTTCCAAAGATCTAAAAATATTTCATTCAATCAGACCAACCAACGAACGAACAAATAGATAGGTCCACAAACGAACAAACGGACGGACCCACAAACGAACCAAGAAACAAATTGGGCAGACTATACTCTTGTGTTGCATATTGTAATACACTAAAATAACCGCAATAACTTCAACCACAATTTACTCCCAAATTTATCTAGGCCACAAACAAGAAACTAATAAGAGCAATTCTGTTTTAATTATTGCACGCCTCACACCGTGAGAGAGTGGTCTACACTCGATATGTGGCCATACCTCAATTTCGCTACGTAAAATCGTTCTTATACTTTTAGCTACACATCAAACCCATATTATTATTAACGTTACAATTACTACACACATTGAATTATAAGATTAGTTTATTTTCTAATTAATTCACCTTAGATTACATAGCAAAAAATGTAATTGAAAATGAATATGGCCGCAGTCTTTAAAAGTTTTTTTTTTGTTTGGTGAAAGTTAAACGCTCATGAGGCGTGCACTTTAGGATTTTTCAAACTATTTGTAAGTATGAACATGGTCTAATTTAGGGCTCTCGTCAGTAGACTAATATTCTCGATTTAAAATGTGATATTGATATTAATTTGATGAGGTAAGCATATTCAAACAGATTACGTTACGTAAATTACTTTGTCTATCATCAGCTGTTTCTAGGAAATTAAGTGGAAGTAAGATAAGAGTACATGTATATGCATGTAGCATTATATGCTTAATAAAAACTTTATTTCAAATGTTTATTCTAATGAGTCGCCGCTATTCGCGCACGACCTTTTTCTCTTGCGTGCTCAAGAAATTCTATTCTATGTGAGGTGACAAGGGCGGGCGAGAATCATTGGAATTAACACAAAATAAACTTTAGATCAAAAAAATATAAAGAAATATAGAGAAAGAATATACATAATGGTCATACATAGCTTTGTGTGTTAAGCCGCTCGTCACAAATTTCACAGTCCCCGCCGGCCGGCAATGGTTGAAATTCAACCAGTTGCCGGCCCACTGATTATCCCGGACAGACAGACAGAAAAAATTAAAAATAAGGTTGTTTATGTCTTAATAGCATGCAGATAAACTTAAATTTTAATTTTTGTATAGATTAATTAATACTGGAAACTTCTTTCGCATTGTGTATCAAAATGTGTCGTGAAAAAAAGAGAAAATTTTTGAATATTAAAGCATAAGTGACTAACACGAGGGTCATCCATCAAATGTGAGGTGAGTCGCAAGTTATTTTCAAAAATATTTATTCCAGTTTTACCTACTTATTACATTATCACACAAAAGATAAGTTTTAGATTTGCGCCCAATTGGAAATAAATAAGAAGCTTTCATATGTTAAAAATTACCTGTTTATGGTAATGGCGACCATAGATAAGAGTGATACGGCCTCGTTCCCGTAGAACACGAACGCGAACATCTGACACAGGCGTGGACCCAGCGTCCATTGCTGTTTAATGTACCTGAGGAGAAAAACCAATATAAATCGATATTACAAGTTACAAATGCGACGTAGTTTAGGTATGGTGAAACAGTAATTTAAAAAACCCAACTGCGTAAAAAAGGTTAATGAAAAGTCAAAATTTCATACCCTATGTCACTTCCACAACTCTAATTAGTTTGTGTCCGCAACTAAGACTAATCTAACGACATCTAGACGCAATGATATTATATATAAAATCTAGATGTTAAAATCCACCAAGCTGTTTAGGCTAAAGAGCGTACCAAATAAATAGACATATTATGTCTAAGGATTTTGAGACAGTCGGCTAAAAATGATATAATTAACAAAGTATTATGAACATCTCATTTCTTTTTCTACCGACTTCAAAAAGGAGCCGGTACTGAATTCGACTATATGCTTTTTTATGTGTGTTACCTCATAACTTTTTACTAGGTGAACCGATATCGATGATTCTTTTTTTAATTGAAAACTGGTGCTTTTCACATGTGGTCCCATATAAATTTGATCAAGGTTTGACCAATAATTTTTGAGTTATTCTTAATAATTTATATTAAAGTCGGTTGTACAAAATTTTTAATTTTAAATTATATATTAACGCGAATGCTATTACCTTCAAAACTTATATAAAATTAATCATGGGCTATGCATTATAATTTTAACTTTTTAAAGAAATTGTAACATCCGCGATATCCTGGTTTCTTAGTGGTTACACGCTAGTCGTAAATTGCACAGTACGCGATCAACCTAGGTTCGATTCGCGTCAGCACAAATTAAATTATTAATTTCAATTATAAGTGCTGATTTATCATGTAATCGGCTGTGAAGAAAAACATCACGAGGAAACCTGCATGTCTGTGAAAAATAAATTCGCCGAACATGACACACAAGGAATGTGAAATCCGCCAACACGCATTGGGACGGCGCGGCGGACATTTCTTTATGTTAAAATCCACTCAGTAATGAAAGGAGACACGTGCCAAGCATTAGGACATGTAACCTTCTGACCTTTCTCCATCTCTTTAACGACACCTGGAATATTAGCGTTTAATATTTTGAACTATTCTTAGAAAAATGCAACAATATTATCCACTAGCGACCCGCCCTCGCTTCTCCTAGATATTTATGATAATCAAATATCATATATTTAATCAATATTTCGTTTTTCAAAAAAAATCGTCAAGTTCTTCGAATAAAATATAGCCTAGATCCATCCATTCGGACAGAACCATAGATTAGTCGGAATAGACACACAGATGTACAGACAAAAATGTTAAAAATGGTTTTGTTATGCCTCAATAGCTTCCCCCCCCCCCCCCCTCCCCCGAACTTAATAGAAGCCAGTTATTTCAATATTACAGACAGACACTTCATTTATATGTATCTATAGATTAGTCTAAATAAAGTATTTATTTTTTACGTGATAGAACCATGGTGCAGCTACATTAGTAGTTTAGTTAACTTTAGTTGTAGCACGAATGGGTCGGCTAGACCGGGGAAGCACCACGCTATCAATAATCAAAATACCAACGTAAAATAGCAGCTTAATGCTGCTGTGTTTCGTATGGTGAAAGCAGAGAACCGGAGACCCTTAACGAAACGAAGGGAACGAGGAAACGAGGTATTCCATCTTAGTACTCACGGGTGACAACGCATCTGCATTTTGATTCGTAATCGAGGACAGATGTACATAGATGTCTATAGGCCGCAGCAACCATTTACCATCAGGTGGACTGTATGCTCGTTTGTCATCCTTATCCTATAAAAAAATTAACTACACTCACCGACTGGCCGTCAGAGGTAAATTAATGCTGCAGAATAGAAGGTCGGACACGCAGAGCGACAGCACGAACATCGTGGTAACATGGCCGCGCAACTTCGGATGCATCAGCAGCGCAACTGTTGTTATGAAGTTGCCTGTAAGAAAGATAGTTTGTTGATTTATATACTTTTAGCTGATTTTAAATTAAGAAGAGGGTCTCAATTCGAGTGTATGTTCTCTTTTTTTGTACTTAATATCTTGGTCAATAATTGCGGACTGAATAGGTGATTCCTTTTTCATTGAAGTTAAACTTCAAGAGTGGTTCAATGTTTTGGAATTAAAACTCCACCCAAAACTATGGAAATATAGGAGATGAAGTTTTTAATGTAATTTCATATTTAGACGATATTCGAGATTTTGATGTTCCTTAGTTCACTCAAAAGGGTGAAAAAATAAGAGTTTTAATAAAAAGTTAAAACTGACTTCAAAGAACTACAAACAATAAGACAATTACCACATAATAGCTTTAAAAGTACGGTTTGGGAATTCCCGACAATATCAAAGTCCCGGGACACGGGACAGCCTTTAATCAAGTAATAATAATAATAATCTTTATTTGCAAGAATATGATTGTACAATGGTGTTTGAGTATAATTCGTTCTACATAATCTACCTTAGTGGTGTGCAAATATTAATGGTCAAGTAACCTAAACAACAACACTTATCTAATTTAACAACATGTATATTAATTTAACAAAATATAAAATTATTTAATATTATTTAGTTGATTTAATAATTAATTTATTATGCCACAGTGTCAGAAAATGCCATCAAAATATATAAGTAAGTATTATTATATCAAGTAAGATTATTATTATAGGTCAATGTCATAAATTAATTAATATTCTTATCTCAATAATTATATAATGTTACATATCCAATTGTCATTAATTTCTTTCTATTTTTACATCAAATTTATTAATTAATTAAATACATAAGTCAAATTTTATATAAAATAATATCAAAAACATTTTTTTTAAACATTGGAATCTTGTAATTACGTAATTAATAATATTCTAAAATTATCATTCATTATTACTCGTATGTAGGTCGTTGTCGTTTAAGAACTCTTCTACAGAATAATAACATTTAGTGAGCAACAATGCCAAAACAGATTTCTTAAATGACAATAAACTTTTACGCTTTAAATAATTATCAGGTAATTTATTATAAACTAGCTGTGCCCGCGACTTCGTTCGCATGTAATCTTTTTCTCCAATTCTTTTATATTTTCAAACCGAGTATATATAATGATATGTTTATTATAATCAAGCAGATTATTTTATGCCTACCTGAACGTTAGCTTCGTGAAAAAGGCTAAAATAGATCAAATTTTTTACTTTTAATTTTGGATGACTTGACGGCTAGGATTAGCCATTTTATGATAATATCCACATTTTAAGAAAACGTAATGCCAGCTATCTACTACCATTTCTGGTTTTTGAATAATAAAATCTTAATAAATACAAAACAAAGAGTCAAAAAGGGGATATTAATATGCAATTTAATTTAATAGTTTTATTTATTTAATCACGGTTTTGTTAGAACTTCAAAAGTAAAAAAAATGTGAAATAAAAATATATGCAGTTAACAAAGGACCTCTTCATAAACAACGTTCACAGTTTTGTTTTGTGGTGCTAAAATAAACAAATTAGTAGGATCGCTGATACTTTGTGTTTCGTGCAATAAAGAATATCTATCTAACTGTCTTACATTTATTTTTATTTATTTATTTACACTTTATTGCACCTTAATTAAAGGATTACAAAGGGCGGACTTAATGCCTTTAGGCATTCTCTCCCAGTCAACCCGGGACGTGTGGAAATTAGGTGATAGGTGACAAAATAAAATGAACAATAGAGTAAATCAAGGAAAAAAAAATACTGATAAACTTAAAAATAAACTAATATTATATATATAAATACAATAAACTTATATACTATAAAATATAATACAGACAATATATTATATTTACATACAAATATATAGGTACATAAATATATACATATTATAAATACAAATAGATATATAACATAAACCTATAAATAGAATAACAACAAAGGTAACCAAATTGACCATACTAACTATCATTAAAGTGCTTGTGAACCAATCTTTTAAAGGCAGTCTTATTAGATGTATTTCTGACGTCATCGGGCAAGGAGTTCCAGAGCAGTGCAGCCTGAATGGTGAAGGATTTACCAACAAAATTAGTAAAATGACATACATCCTTGAACACTCACATACACACACTCACACACAAACACACACACAACGCGTGCGGACAGACAGTGCCGATGTAAGAGTAGATCATTCAAAATTGTCGATTGTTTGAATGGGGATGTCAGGAAGTTGACTACAGATTTATAATGTAAAGTCATAAAAAGTACTCGATGTTGCAAAAACATCGATGTTTCTAACCGATGCATCGAAATATATCGATGCACAGTCTCGATGCATCACATCGAAAAAAAACATCGATGTATTTTCAAAGTGGACACCCCTACCGTAATCCGTAAGATGATGTAATGAAAGTAGGGATGTGAAAAAATAATCGATTTTCATATTAATCGATTATTTTTTTCTTATAGTCGATTTTTCGATGACGATTTTTTTTATAATAAAAATCGATTTTTAATAAATCGATTTTTATGTAAATTACACGTTTCAATCGATTTTTGTAATCAGAGTCATCTGTGCGATGGATGTAAAAACGTGAAGTAAGTTCAATAACATGAATAAGTCAATCAAAAGACAGCGCCACCTTTATGTATCTCTATGTATATAAGCCGACCTTTTAGGCTCCCTTTTTGCGTCCAACTCGACTCTTGATGACGGGGGGAAAACACCGCCGACCATCCCGCGGTGTGAGTGCTCCATGCCGGATGTGCTGTTCTCACAGCGCTCGGTTCGCAAAGCACTGCTCTCCCTGGACATCCAGAAGTCGAGTGGGCCTGACGGAATCCCCCCAATTGTGCTGAGGACGTGTGCTCCGGAGTTGGCACCGGTCCTAACGCGTCTTTTCCGGTACTCCTACTCCCAAGGCGTAGTCCCGAATTCATGGAAGACAGCTTTTGTCCACCCGATCCCTAAAAAAGGCGACCGCTCAGACCCGTCCAACTATAGGCCTATCGCGATCACCTCCTTGTTCTCCAAAATAATGGAATCCATTATTAACTGCCAGCTCATCCGGTACCTTGAGGATCACCAGCTGATTAGTGACCGCCAATACGGTTTTCGTCGGTGTCGATCAGCTGGTGATCTTCTTGTCTACCTGACCCATAGATGGGCGGAGGCAGTAGAGTCCAAGGGGGAGGCGTTGGCCGTTAGTCTGGACATTGCGAAGGCCTTTGATCGGGTTTGGCACAAAGCGCTTCTTTCAAAGCTGCCTTCCTATGGGCTTCCCGAGAAATTGTGCAATTGGATCACCAGCTTTCTTGCAGATCGGAGCATCAAGGTCGTTGTAGACGGTGCATGTTCTGACTACAAGCCTATTAACGCTGGTGTTCCACAAGGCTGTGTGCTATCACCAACGCTGTTTCTTCTGCATATCAATGATATGTTGCTAACTGGTAACATTCATTGCTATGCGGATGACAGCACTGGTGATGCTCTATACACCGGCCGGGCCAATATTTCTCGGGAAAACGTCGCCGAGTACCGGAACAAACTTGTGTCTGAAGTCGAGTCTTTGCTGGACAAAGTCTCGGATTGGGGGCGACTAAATCTAGTCCAGTTTAATCCTCAGAAGACACAAGTTTGCGCGTTTACCGCTAAAAAGAACCCCTTTGTCGTATCTCCTCAGTTTCAAGGCACTCCCCTTCTTGCCTCAGCCAGTATCGGTATCCTCGGAGTCGACATATCGAGTGACGTGCAGTTTCGTGGTCACTTGGAAGAGAAGGCCAAATTGGCCTCTAAAAAGCTTGGCGTGCTCAGCAGAGCGGGACAGTATTTCATGCCGGCACACCGCCTGCAACTTTACAAGGCGCAGGTTCGGCCTCACATGGAATACTGTTCCCATCTCTGGGCAGGGGCTCCCCAGTGCCAGCTCCTTCCACTTGACCGCATCCAGCGCAGAGCGGCTCGAATCGTCGACGACCGAGCCCTTTCCGATCGGCTCGATTCATTGGCACTGCGAAGAGATGTTGCATCTCTTTGCATTTTCTTTCGCATCTACCATGGGGAGTGCTCTGAGGAATTGTTCGGATTAATCCCAGCCGCCAAATTTCACGAACGCACATCGCGGCAGAACTCCCGATACCATCCACACCATCTGGATGATTGGCGGTCCACCACTGTGCGATTTAGAAGATGTTTTCTTCCTCGCACAACTTCCTTGTGGAATAGTTTACCACCAGGGATTTTTCCGGACCGATACGACTTAGGGACCTTCAAGAAAAGAGCCTACTCCTTTTTAAAAGGCCGGCAACGCATCTGCAATTCCCCTGGTGTTGCGGTTGTTCATGGGCGGCGGTAGTCACTTACCATCAGGTGAGCCGCATGCTCGTTTGCCCCCTCTCCTATAAAAAAAAAAAAAAAAAAAATGTATGTAAAACGGTTTCGCTTTTCGTATGTTTTCAACAGGTTTCTTCCTCCGCTAGGAGTAAAAGTATTCTGTGGTTTTCTTTTTTCTTTAGTTAGTGTAAACAATTATATATAAACAATAAAAATGTCTTGTGAAACGCGTAAAAGTGACTGACAGAAGTATTTTATAATGAAAAAATGATAGCGGCCAACACGTTAATAGGCAAAAATACTGAATTGGATCTATATATTGCGGCACCACTATCAAATCTCAAGGCAGATGCCCTCAATATATGGAGAAGCTCTGAAGGAACTTTCCCTAAACTAACCGAATTGGCTTTTAAACACCTCTCAATGATGGCCAGTTCCGCGCCAGCCGAAAGAATATTTTTGAAAGCGGGAAATATTGTCAGGAAAAAACGAAACCGTATTTTGGGAAAGAGACGAAGAAGAATTTTGGTGAAATGATTGTTTTTAAAGTCTTTAACTGAAAATTCATGGCAATATTTTATTTACTTTTTTTGTTTACACAAGTTTAAAAAAAGATTTGTCTTGTATTTTAGTTTTGAGATCA